TGCCGGCTAACGGAGGGGTCCGGTGCCACGGAGAAGGCTGGAACGTCCTCGCCGAAGCAGCAGGCTGTGACGAGAGTCTGACAACTTAACGCCGTCACAAGAGCCTAGGACAGGAGACAAAAACCCAGTAGTTTGAGTAAATTAGGTACTAGTGAATCTCACGTTAGAGATGCTTAACCGTAAGGGCGCAGAGTACGGGGGGTAAGCTGGTATTTCTGAGAGTCGTGGAGGATGGATGAGGCACCAGCGACTGTCAAAAGACAAGTGTGGCGTCTCTTTGAAAAAGGAGAAAAAAATAATCATAGCTTTCTAAGTAAGCTTTATTGGTAGAGAAACGGTAGAACCAATTAAGTGCTTGCAAGGATCCCAGTTATAATAACATAAAAATGAATAGCCAGTATGGATTTCAGTACAGCCAAGGCAATTCTGTTCTGTAGCAGGGCAGTGCTCTGTGCATGGGCAGCAAACCTATAGATGTGAGGTTCCTGACGCCAGCTCATGTAACGTTCTCAAGTGCAAGGCAGGAACGGGACCTCGAAGGGTGACGGAAGGTGAGCGTGCAGCTTGTGGGAACGCCACACTCTAAAAGCAGTTACTAATAACTCGCTGTCTGACGGCAAGGACATACTGAGTGGGGTTTTGCAAGATTTTTGTCTTCGATTGGAGTCTTAAGTAATATTTTGATTAGCGCCTTGGTTGGCTGGTGGACTAACTTACTGACAATATGGCTTATTCTCTTTGTAGAAAAGAGAAAATTTGGAGGGGCCACAGACTGTCAGAGGGCAAGACCAGTGGTCAAAGTAATCTTAACAAATTGGAGAAAGTTTGAAAAGATGGATTAATTTAATTAAGCATGTATGCTAAGTCCCTTTCTTTGGTAAGAATAATCAACTTATAAACTACAAGGAGAATGGCTAAACTCCAGGTCTGCCTGAAAGGATTTGAGACTTAGATCATACACTGGACATGAATCTGCAAAATCAGGTGTTGCAAAAGAAGAAAATGATACAAGATGTATAAACAAAATCTTGTGGGTCAAACATGATGTAATAATATTTCTTTTCCTCTCAGCACTGCAGTACTGCAAGCACATGGGGGCAACACATTGCAAGAAAAAAACCCACAGAAGTGGATAAATGGGAGGGATTGATTTACTAAGAAAGACACATTAGTCTACAGAAGAAAAAAAAAAACAGTGGAAAACCTGGAGAAACGGAATATTCTGTTCTGTGTGGGGTAGGTAGGGGAAGTAATAGGCTTACATTGCAGCAAGGGAAGCTTTAACTTAAAGAAGAGGAAAGCTTTCCAGTTACAAGGGTACTTGAGCCATGGACTGGATTGGTGAAGAACCTATAGAATCTCAGCTGTCAAGGTCCTCAGTTCAGTTACCCCAAAATCCTGAGTGCCAAGGAAAAAGACGATGGTCCCTTTCAGCCTGGGTGTCTCTGGAGAATCTGCATCTAAGGGACAGAGTATGTCTGAGCTCTCTTGAATTCTGGAGGCTGTTCTCACAGGGATGCTCGACAGCTGCCTTGCCTGTACAATTTGCCAGCTGTCTCATTAGATTTCTTGAAACTAATACAAATGTATTAAACCCGGCAAAAATAGCGACTAATGCGTGGTAGGATTTTTTTAAATTAATGCCTTTTTTAGGTAAAAGCAACCTTTTTTCCTTAGATTGCATATAATCCAAGTTATATTGTTAGACAGCACTTGTGCAGTAGGCTCCCAGCATCACTTGTGGCATATTAATGAACGGTTTTCATGCAAACATTGATTATTCAGGGGGCAGAATGAGATTATGCCATGGGAAATGATACTTGTTTAATTTCAGAAAGATCAAACATAGAAAGTTAAAGTTTAGTCATTGTGTTCTGGTGCAGCAAAAAACCCTTTGTCATAGTTCTGCAAGGTTTTGCATATTTAGTAGTATTCAGCCATCTTGCATCAGTTCAGTCAGGTTTTTATTGCTGTTGGAACACTACATTTGTTTCTCATTGCTTGTCAGTTGTTTTTGCATTTTTGGGGGGAGGAGATGTTAACAAACGCTGTTGTTCTTTTCTTTAGACAGATCTGGCATTTAAACAAAAGCAGAAGGAGGAGCAAAAGAAACTTGAGGAGATGAAAGCAAAGGCTGCTGGAAAAGGGCCCCTCAGTAAGTGAGGTGCCATACTGATAGGAAAAATTGAGGGCTTGCTGGCTTCAAAAATGTCATGGTTTTGCTTGACAAACATAAAAAGGCCTGTACCTCTAGGTTATTTAACATACACCAGTCAGTCAATGGAAAGTGGAGGTGACAACAAATAGAGGCTC